AGTCAGAGTTACGAAGAGATTATGACAAATTTTGAAAGATTTTTTCTTTTTGTAGACAACCAAAGGCAAACAATCCTAAGTTGCCTATAACTACCATATTTAAAAAAATCACATGAATAATGGCTCTCGTGTGAACAAAGCCATGTGAGTTATGGTCCTCAAGTTAACTAAGCCACGTGACTGATGGCCCTCAAATTAATCATTCAACGTGGATGATGGCCCTCATTATGGTCGTTATGCAATGTTGTAAATGGTTTAGTTTTAAATTATTCCTATGTTAGAGCTTCGCTTGAACGTATCCATGTGACTAAAGGGTCTCCTGTACACCGTCTCATCACTACAGACCCTCAAATGTGAAGTTACAATATGGTGTCATCAGCAGCTGCCGTACACCAACCCGGATATTAAAGTTCATTAGGTAAACAAACTATCATGATGGGATCCTATTTGTAAGGAAACTCCTCTTTGCTTTCTGGATATTATGTAAAATGCCTCTGTAATTGGATGGTTCTTATGTAAATAAATCGTAATAACTTGTGGTTGTTATGTAAACCATGTTACATGAGTGCACAGTTCCAGAACCCGTAACGAGATACGGACTGCAGAGTATGGCTGGCTGTGCGCAGGTTTGTTAATTATGACCCATTGATTATATATATATATATATATATATATATATATATATATATATATATATATATATATATATATATATATATATATATATATATTAAACCTAGCTTGAGAAAAGGTGTCTTATCTGCCAGCACAGCGAGATAACCACTTTCTGTATGACAGGGGCGCTAGGGTGTGTCTGTTCCTCCGAGAATAATCTGTTTTCCCGGCGTGGGAAGGCGGTGTTGCACAAGTTGGGAGTAGCAGGAAGGGTGATCTTGACCCCTGACCCACTCGCAGTCGACGGAAGCTCAACCTCTCTCTCCCTCCACCCAGGATGAGGCCCAAGTACCCCCCCCCCCTTCTTCTTACTCTTGTTGGAGGGCCAGGACACAGGACATACCTTGTTGGAAGGCCAGGACACAAAACATATACCTTGTTGGAGGGCCAGGACACAAGACATACCTTGTTGGATGGCCAAGACACAAGACATACCTTGTTGGAGGGCCAGGTCACAAGACATATACCTTGTTGGAGGGCCAGGACACAGGATGGAGGCCAGGACACAAGACATATACCTTGTTGGAGGGCCAGGACACAAGACATATACCTTGATGGAGGGCCAGGACACAAGACATATACCTTGTTGGAGGGCCAGGACACAAGACATATACCTTGATGGAGGGCCAGGACACAAGACATATACCTTGTTGGAGGGCCAGGACACAAGACATATACCTTGATGGAGGGCCAGGACACAAGACATATACCTTGTTGGAGGGCCAGGACACAAGACATATACCTTGTTGGAGGGCCAGGACATAAGACGTATACCTTGTTGGAGGGCCAGGACACAAGACATACCTTGTTGGAGGGCCAGGCCATAAGACATATACCTTGTTGGAGGGCCAGGACATAAGACATATACCTTGATGGAGGGCCAGGACACAAGACATATACCTTGTTGGAGGCCAGGACATAAGACGTATACCTTGTTGGAGGCCAGGACATAAGACATATACCTTGTTGAGGGCCAGGACATAAGACATATACCTTGGAGGGCCAGGACACAAGACATATACCTTGGAGGGCCAGGACACAAGACATATACCTTGTTGAGGGCCAGGACACAAGACATATACCTTGATGGAGGGCCAGGACATAAGACATATACCTTGTTGGAGGGCCAGGACATAAGACATATACCTTGATGGAGGGCAGGACACAGTGATGGAGGGCCAGGACACAAGACATATACCTTGTTGGAGGGCCAGGACACAAGACATATACATTGGAGGGCCAGGACATAAGACATATACCTTGTTGGAGGGCCAGGACACAAGACATATACCTTGATGGAGGGCCAGGACATAAGACATATACCTTGTTGGAGGGCCAGGACATAAGACATATACCTTGTTGGAGGGCCAGGACATAAGACATATACCTTGTTGGAGGGCCAGGACACAAGACATATACCTTGTTGGAGGGCCAGGACATAAGACATATACCTTGTTGGAGGGCCAGGACAAGACATATACCTTGTTGGAGGGCCAGGACATAAGACATATACCTTGTTGGAGGGCCAGGACATAAGACATATACCTTGTTGGAGGGCCAGGACATAAGACATATACCTTGTTGGAGGGCCAGGACATAAGACATATACCTTGTTGGAGGGCCAGGACATAAGACATACCTTGTTGGAGGGTCAGGACACTATTCTCCCTGCCCCAACCAGCTTCCCTTACTTTAAGACCCTAAGAACCCTTCCAGGTGTTAGAGACCAGCCAGAACCGCACACCGGAGCCAGATATCACCCCATAGAGTACTCCTGTAACCTCCTCCTCCCCCCCTTAGGTTGATGGAGCAGATATGCACTCGGTTATGTTAAACAATACCCTCAGTTCCACTCACCAGGGCAGCTCACTAGTAAACTCACCATCTAAGAAGCATATAAGCCGGTAAAGATTCATAATGCAGGACTAAATCCACCTAAAACTCGTCCCCCTCCCCAACACGCAGTTGCATCTTTGGTTGAAATTAATTATCCATGGATTAAACTAGGAATTTGAACGCAAAGATGGCGCATCTTTGCGTTCGTCACAGTTTGAAGTCTATAAAATACCACGAGGTGAGGTTTGGCTTACAATATGTTCATCACGTTACAGGAAAACTTCTACTTCCAGCCTTTAAAGCACCGCTAAAAATACATGTATTGGCCAGCTATTAAAGTGTAAATGTTTTACATATTTTTGTTTTGGTTTTAAAATAATAATCTCTCGTGCCTCTCCCGTAGTGTTATCTCTCACTTGTGAATTTCCATATGTACATAAATGTGTACTTGTGTTCCACGCACTCGCTATATACATTGTACACATATTCACAAATTTTTCCCCGTTTCCACTCTCTATTCTCCAGTCAGTCGCTATCGTCAACGGTTCTAACACCATTTTGACTAATTAACTCCCCCACTGACGGAGAAGAGATTCTGCAATACATGTTATATCTTACCAAATCTACTAAATTAATCTCTTTAACTACAGTGGGTATACCTGACAGTATTATACGAGTAACTCCTGACTGTTGTTCTATCTGTTATTACTATTCAGTCTTCTGTTTTTCCTTTCTCCCGTCACCTGGCAGGCACACCCTCCTCAAGGCCAGAGACTCACTGCCTCCATCACCCACCGTGACACACTCACCCATTAACTATCTTGATTCTTTTAAAACAAATACCCATCTAATACAACATCATCTGTCCTTTCTGTACAGGTTATCAGATGATAATGCTTTTATTTTACCACGGTTGAAGGGAAAGTTTCTGTTGTATCTCAGTTGATGTTTTAACTAATCTTGTGTCTAATAAACTGTTCTGTATGATCCTGGACCATCAAATTGAATAAGAAAAAACTAATTAGAAAACTAATTACAGATGAATTCGAAGTAGTAGACAAGTGAATAACAAAGACTAGTCGATCCACTGCCCACCATAATGAGATGCATCAGATGACCGCAAGATAATGTCATTGCTATACTAATACTAGGATATGAGTACCACTGGCAGTATACCCCAACTGTAGACGTGAACACCCACATAACAACCCACTAGAACACTAAGCCATTAACTGTGAACAAATAATATAACCTTTTAGGAACGAGGTCAAGACTACTCTTGCTGATGGTAAGAAGCTTCTTAGTAGGTAGTAGGCAGCTATCAAACAGGGAGGTACTACCGCCTGGGAAGATATTGGAAGCATAATGTATTGTCTAATGGTAGACCCTGCTACCATATGGCATCAAAAAAATTGTGACCAAGTCCCAGGTTGCTGATCTGACTTTCTGCCTGTTTTACACACAATTGCAGGGTCTCAATTGTTTCTCTTACTTTGGCAACACAACATATATATCGTTTCTCACTCTTGATCTGTTTAATTATTTTTTTTCATTTCTGTATTTATGGTTCAATATATTTATTTTTTCGCCCCCCAGGTCCCGATGTCGGTCGGTGACCTGTGCCCGGGTGGACTAATCTCCGTAAAAAAAAAGAAAAAAAAAAAAACTTAAGATTGTATCCACCATATGCACCGAACAGATAAGTCAGCCACTATATCAAGCTTTAGCCACACGATATACTAATAATACCTATGATATTCAGTACCACACTAGCCTGACCACTGGGGTGAAATAAAATATCGTGTGTGACCTCTGCTTTAATGCTTTTTACGCTACCGCGAGGGAATCTTCGAATTACAAAGAGTAAAGGTGTATATAAATAAAAATAAATAAAAACTGGAAAATTATTATAAATAAATAAAAACGGGGGATGGGGAGTTGAAGACAATATCTTCTCGGAGTTCAGGGAAAATAATCCTAAATTTCCGTGAACGATCCTTCTTATCTCAGAGGCCAAGGGTCTCCCAAAGTTATTCAACCAAATGTGGTAACCTCTCTCTCTCTCTCTCTCTCTCTCTCTCTCTCTCTCTCTCTCTCGCGCGCGCTGTGTGTGTGTGTGTGTGTGTGTGTGTGTTTATTATTCGACATAATCATCTTGCATTTGACACTCTTTCCAGGTAAGAAATAATGACGGGGGTCAACGTCACCCGTTCATTTACCTAGTAAGGGAGAATCAGTCTGTCTTATATATGCACACACAGAACAGCACTATACTATGACTTCAACACGCACATTAAGTGTACTTTAAGTCAGTCCTAGATATAATTATGTATGGCGCCGAATCTTGAGAACCTTCTGAGAAAACAACCACAATATTTTACCCAGAAACTTAAGCAAACGTCGCGGTATTATGACGTGTGATGCCCCCTACCTATTTATTATGCTGAATTTCGATGACGATAAAACAACAATCATCAATTATTACTTACCAAAGTTGACTCTGATGACTGGCGCAGGACCCTGGCCATCTCTCTCTAGGGCGAAATCCCACAGTCTGATGAGACCTGCAGCTCTACCATTAGGTCCATTCTCTTTTACCACGTCGGAAATTGTTGGAATTGTGGAAAATGGTAACTGGGCAACCACTAGGGCAGCTATAAGTCCTAGAGACACAAAGAGTCTTAGTTCACTCATTGTTCACCGTAGTAGTTGTGAATCTTCAGAATGGCAGGAGGCAGCGTGTGGACGAGTTACGGCTTCACCAGGAGGAGGGAGAGCGTCTCACTACCTACCCGTCCCAGTTCCTGAGTGTGACTGAGGACTCCTTGCCTAGCCTCTTATACCGCCACCTATTGTGTAGTATTGCCAGATTCTGTTGACTCATCGTCACAAGGAAAAGATGAATTATAAATCTTAGAGCAGTTGCAGAAACATTTTTTTTGTGGCAACAACCTTGTCCCTCTTCTCAAATGACATGTTTTGTTCGTAAACACACATAGCTGGTAAAGGTGAATAAGGTAAATGCATAACTGGGTTTATGGGTCAATTTCTTTCTCAGCACATGAAACTATTTACTATTCATCACGAGGAGAAAAGACCAATCATTGAAAGATAACAAAGACGCTGTGTTCTTTAGTTAACTGACAGAACTTCTAAAACAGTAGTATGATAACTAAACTTACCACAAAGTTCACTCACAGATCACAGGAATTACTTATATATTCATAATATCACTTGGTTTGTTTTTTTAGTAGATAGACGTAGACTAAGAGTTATGGATATGGCAGTAAAATCTTTAACCAAATTTGATTATACTACAGCAGTGTTTTTAACCCCTGCTAAGAAGTGTCATTGTGTTGGTATTTTGCTCAGCCGTCACCGGAGACCTTCCCTTAAACCAACACTCGTCGCCTCTTCCCCTTAATCACTTATCATTCCCCTCCCATCAGTTTTTTACAACCCAGAACTCCCTCTCCTTAGTCACCAGAATACACCAACCCCCTCCCCTCACTCACCACAACCCCAACCCCTCTCCTCAGTCACCACAACCACCATCCCCCCTCCCGGTCACCACCACCAATAACCCCCTCCCCAGTCACCACAACCACCAACCCCTCCCTCAGTCACTGCAACCACCAACCCCCTCCTCTCAGTCACCACAACCACCAACCCCTCCTCTCAGTCACCACAACCACCAACACCCTCCTCCGGTCACCACCACCAATAACCCCTCCCCAGTCACCACAACCCCCTCCTCAGTCACCACAACCACCAACCCCTCCCTCTCAGTCACCACAACCACCAACCCCTCCTCTCAGTCACCACAACCATCAACCCTCCCTCAGTCACCACAACCACCAACCCCCTCCTCTCAGTCACCACAACCACCAACCCCTCCTCTCAGTCACCACAACCACCAACCCCCTCCTCTCAGTCACCACAACCACCAACCCTCCTCAGTCACCACAACCACCAACCCCTCCTCTCAGTCACCACAACCATCAACCCTCCTCTCAGTCACCACAACCATCAACCTCCTCCTTTCAGTCACCACAACCATCAACCCCCTCCTCTCAGTCACCACAACCACCAACCCCTCCTCTCAGTCACCACAACCACAACCCCCTCTCAGTCACCACAACCACCAACCCCCTCCTCTCAGTCACCACAACCACCAACCACAACCACCAACCCTCCTCTCAGTCACCACAACCACCAACCCCCTCCTCTCAGTCACCACAACCACCAACCCCCTCCTCTCAGTCACCACAACCACCAACCCCCTCCTCTCAGTCACCACAACCACCAACCCCTTCCTATAGTGATTGTTTATCAGACCAAAGTATACAACCCAGAGAAGAACAACCCATATAGCAGTCACTAGATGCACAGGTGTTCACCCACGTAAGCTGACCCACCCTACAGAAACCAAGGTGAGATTAAGACCTGACCCAACAGAGGTCATGGTCAGGGAGGGAAAAGTTCTCACCGTCGTGTGATTAGTCAAACTTCCCTCCACCAAGCCAGTACACCTGACACCTGGCCAGACACACCCAGATTAGTGACGACATCTACAGGCCTGAAACCTCCAATATAAGGGGCCTACAGCTCCTTCCGTGAGACAGACAGGGAGAGACAGCACTCAGGGGCAGATGAAGTCACACTCATCACAAGTCGGGAGGGGACTTCCCTCCCTAGCACCGAGTCCCCAGCTAGCAGAGTCTCTCACAGGAGACAGAGTTCAGCACCAGCCAGGACCACTCTCTTCAGCAACACCTGCAAACAGTATCCCCAGCCGCTGGGCCTCCCTCAGGTTACACGTGAGTCATTGTTAGAACGATCCATAGGGCGAGTTACTTGCGGTGGGAAGTGAATCCATTTCATGTTTGTGTCTGGGAGTCATTGTCTAGTAACTTCGATATAATGATTTATTAATGTGTCCATGCCAGTCAGTTAACTAATAAATAGCTGTACCTGGAAGTGTCGTTTGGAAGATTTCCCCAAAGAAGTTAGTGACGGTTAAATAATCAGGCACACTTCCAACTTTCTTCACTTTACAATCCTTCTACTATAAATTCTCACTATATCTTTCTACTCGAGTTTACCCTCAGTACATTCCCCTCATTCACCACAACCACCCACCCCCTCCCCTCAGTCACCACAACCACCATCCCTCTCCCCTCATTCACCACAACCACCACCCCCCCTCAGTCACCACAACACCACCCCCTCCCCCTCAGTCACCACACACCACCCCCTCCCCTCAGTCACCACAACCACCATCCCCTCTCCCCTCAGTCAGTAACCACCACAACCACAACCACCCCCCTCTCAGTCACCACAACCACCACCTCCTCAGACCACCCTCAGTAACCCCTCCCCTCAGTCCCAACCACCACCCCCCTTCCCCCTCAGTCACCACAACCACCACCCCTTGCCCTCAGTAACCACAACCACCACCTCCCCTCAGTGACCACAACCACCACCCCTCCCCTCAGTCACCAAGGGGAGGTACTACCGCCTGGGAAGATATTGGAAGCATGATGTGTTGTCTATGGTAGACCCTGCTGCCACATGGCATCACAAAAATTGTGACCAAGTCTCAGGTTGCTGATCTGACTTTCTGCCTCAATTTCACACAATTGCAGGGTCTCAATTGTTTCACTTAATAGTAACAACACAACATACATATACAGTATTGTTTCTCACTTTTGATCTTTTTTTTTCATGTTTGTATTTCTTTATGGTTCTTTATTATTATTATTATTATTATTATTATTATTATTATTATTATTATTATTATTATTATTATTTGTATTATTATTATTATTATTATTAATACATTTTCGCCCCCCAGGCCCTGATGTGGGTCAGTGACCTGTGCCCGGGTGGGCTAATCCCTGAAAAAAAAACACCATGATCACTACTCTCTCTTCAATAACCTCCACCAACCTCAATGATTTCGATACTGATGATCTAGGTGATGACATTAGTGGACTGGACATGAGTTATAATAATCCTGTTCAAAGCGGTTAAGACGGCAACAAAAGCAGGAAGAAAGCGCGAACAGCAGAAGCAAGAGGAGCAGCAACACGACTACCAAAATCTAAACCAGTCAAGCATTAATGGACTACTCTGATGACCACTGATACTGCTTTTATGTTTGATTGGCTGTGTCAAACAGTAGTAACACCCAGGTGCTAGATTCTGATGTAGATCCAAGTATTCAAGGCGACTTCCTCAAAACTAGAATATCAGGCATAACACTGCATCAACTTCCTCTGTCAACAAGACCATTATTATCATCATTGGACCCGACTCTTCCAAGACACTGTAATACTGGAACATCACAACAAAAAGAGGAGGACGAAGCGATTCCGAGTAAAGGAAGCTTTTTCTCACTGTCTGGATTGACAGTGATGACCCGGCCAAAGCTCTCACTGTTCTTGGTGCCCATCGTCATCTGAGAGTAAGGCTCCATCAACATTGTTTAACTAGACGATGATGTTAACACTGGGGCTAGGTGGCTCGAGTTATCACCAAGTCCCTGAGATGTTTTATGTTATCTTGTGTTCAATCTATTTGCATATTTCATCACGTTTTACTGTATGTTACATGACGACCTTCATTTTGATAGTTACGCCATTATCTCAAGACATTTTACAGAGGCGGCTTATTTAATTTTGCACTCGGAGCGGACTTCGGGTTATGACTTCTGTGATATCAATATGATCGTTATGTCATTAGAAATACTGGAACCATTTTTTCCTGAATCTTTATACAATAGAGAATACAAATATATTCCGTTCTAAAAACTAACATACAATTCCTACGAGACCTGCTGTGCTTATCCATCCTAGATATTCTGTAGTGTGGTGCTACACTGGATATAACACTTATCTCACAACTGACTCATGCAGGGATCAAACCCTAGTCGTGAGAGGCGACCACGCTGCCGCTGTAGAAAAAATATAGTTTTATAGTTGATACGGCAGTATTGAGGCTAAATGTGTTTGGACTAGTTTGTATAGGTTTGGTTAACGTGTAATATGGTTTTAGATTGATAGGTTTGGTGGGGTGTATTTAATAGTCATGATGTAATAACTAATACGATCGACATATATATTGAAGATATGCTTCAATATATATCAAACTAAACCTCATCTGATTTACCCACACAAGCACACACCCAACATGTCTCCCACTAATGTGAGCTAAACAAAACTGATTCAACTTTACCATTAATACTCGTTTAGATATCATAATTATGCCTCATTTGTCTATGCATTGGTTCGAGTTCCGTATTTATTAATTTGGCAAATATTTACTCTTACTCTTGATCCTTCACTTTAATTAGTATCAATGTCATTATTTATTGCATACATTAGTGATGATCGCCATTCGGTTTTGTGGTCCTCAGAGTTTATGTAAATCCGACAGGGAAGCAAGAAAAAGATGAGATGCATTTTTTTTATGAAGCAGATCATAATCAACCAAACTTCTAACTTATTAATTCAAAAAAGCTAATTATTGTTAGGCTCGTTTAGGGTTTGAGTTGGTCGGTTCGTGTGTACTGCTTTAAAGCTTTTACATCCCTATCCGTCTCATTATATCTGAGGAGTATATTCTATAATGACAGTATCTTATACTGTACAGAAAGAGGTAAATTTTCGTTTTCTGTGACTACTTTAGTCTTCACAGAAAATAACATTAATGGGAAAGCTCTTATAAAAATATACAATACTCTTAATTTGCATTTATTGAAAAAGATTTTTTTGTCAATGTTATGTATACAGTATAGGAACAGGC